GGGTTTAGGGTTTAGGGTCAGAAGAAGGGCTATTGACAGGGTCGCAAATCTTTTGGATTTGATGCGGTTGCACAGTCTTCTGTAAGGTTGTTTTACTCCTGGGGGGTTCAGAGTTCTTGGGAGGGCTCTGGGATTTGAAGGTTGAGGGTTTCATTAGGAGCTTGAACTCCTAAATCCCTAATCCCTAAATCCCGAAGCCCTGAAGCCTGAACCTTACTTGGAGGATCATGGGACTTAATAAGCAAGGTTATAAGTACCTTAGTTAAGGTTATACGTAATTGTAAGTTTAGTTATGTAATTTATAACCCTAAACCCTAAACCCTATACCCTAAACCCTAAATTAAGGCGCCTTAACCGAAGGAGCATGATGCGGATGGGCTTCAGCTAATGTGGCCGCTTCCTCCCCAGATCAATGCGGCGGAGGCCCTGGCGGCCATTCCTTTCTCAAAGGACCGGGCCTTGCGTACCTTTGTCTCTATTCTGTACATGTATTCGTACAGACTCGATCTCGATGTCTATCTCGATTTCGATATCTAGCTCTATCTCTATCGCTATCCCTATCCCTCTACTTATCCATATCTCTATTTGTATCTCTATCTCTCTATTTCTCTATTTCTTTGCCTCTCTACCTCTCTATATTATCTATCTCTCTATCTCTTTGTCTCTATTTCTTTATCTCTTTGTCTCGATTTCTCTACCTCTCCATCTCTCTCTCTCTCTCCCTCTCAATCTCGCTATCTCTCCATCTCTCTCTCTCTCTCCCTCTCAATCTCGCTATCTCTCCATCTCTAAAACTTCTCTATCCATCTGCCTATCTATCTATCTATCTATCTATCTATCTATCTATCTTTCTATTGACCTATCTATCTCTCTATCTCTCTCTCTCTCTCTATCTATCTATATATCTACCTATCTATTATCTATCTTTCTATCTTATCTATCTGCCTATCTATCCATCTACCTATCTATCTGTCGGTCTGTCTATGTATCTACCGATCCGGTTATCTATCTATCTACTTACCTTTCTCTTCATCGATGCGTCCATCCATCCATCCACCCACCCACCCACCCACCCACCCACCCATCCATCCATCTTTCTATCTATCTACCTACTTACCTACCTACCTACCTACCTACCTATCTACCTACCTACCTACCTACCTACCTATCTATCTATCCATCCATCTATCTATCTATCTATCTATCTATCTCTCGCTCTCTCTCTCTGTCTCTCTGTATCTCTCTCTCTATCTGTCTCTGTCTCTCCGTATCTCTCTCTCTATCTGTCTCTGTCTCTCTCTATCTCTCTTTCTATCTATCTCTCTCTGTCTCTGTATCGAACTATCTCTCTATCTATTTATGGGAAAAGAGTCTCATTCGTTTTTTATACATAGACATAAATGTATGCAGATTATATATATATATATGCGTACATACATACGCACATACATAGATACACATACACACATACATGTCTATATATATATATATGTATATGTATATATATATATATATACATATATATATAGTTATGCACATAGAGAGTCATAAGTATTATATATATATATATATATGTATACATCGTGACAGGGATAGGCCTTCCTGATTATGGTATCTCATTTTGGTGCATGTACACATACCTTTACACATACATAAATACATACACAGACAAATATAGGTTTGCTTATAGTGGTGCTTGTAATGGTAGCTTTTTCAAGTTCGTGAGCAAGAGCTCAGAGGACGTTGACGGCGCTCATTTCATGGCCCAGGCGAGGGTGCCCTCAGAGGCCTTTGCTCCTCTGACGGCCGAGGGCGTGATGCGTGCGCTGGACCACTACGGAATTCAGGTGCTCGTTTAGGGCATTCTATAAGGGTTGCTACCAGGCTTACTATAGGGGTTGCTATACGGGTGTTTGTGATAGGGTTCAGGGTTTAGGGTTTAAGTGCCAGCGGTTGCGCTGTAGGGGTTTGGGAAGTTAGGGGTTCGGGGGTTTTCGGGTGCTCAGTAGGATTAAACGCCGAGCCCTGAACCCCAAACCCGAAACCCTGACCCCCTCAAACCCTAAACCCTAAACCCTAACCCCAAAAAAACCTAAAGAGGTTACAAGAAATTGGCAGGTCCATGGGCTGCACGCCGTGATCCTTGGACGATCTCATCTGGTGGGGCAGCCTTTGGCGCTTTTGCTGGGCGCCAGGGGTGCAACGGTGACTCTTCTACACAGCCAGAGCCAGGACTGTCTGGTGCTTTCTAGGGAATGGGGGAATGGGTTATAGGGACTACTATAAGGAACCTTAAGGGACCCTAAACCCTGAACCCTAAACCCTAAACCCTAAACCCTAAACTCTAACCCCTAAAACCTAAACCCTAAACTCTAAACCCTAAACCCTAAACCCTAAACCCTACACCGCCAGAGCCAGGAGCACCAGGCCCTGTGCGAGAAGGCGGACCTTCTCGTGTCGGCCGCGGCTGGGCTCTTCCCAGAGAGCCCAAGACCCCTTAATTAAGGAATTTAGGGTTTAGGGTTTAGGGTTTAGGGTCTCGGGTTTAGGGTTTAGGCCCTTGTTATAGAGCTTAAGTGAAGGAGCTTAGTTCAAGCTGCTGTCAGAGAGATTTGTAGTGAATGATGGTATGGTTTGTGCACTATGGTATCTTCAGGGTTTAGGGTTTAGGGTTTAGGGAAGTTGCTCACTATGGTAAGTTAACTCCTAAACCCTAAACCCCTAAACCCTGAACCCTAAACGAATTCCTGAACACCCAGGTTGGCAAGCCGAGGTTCGTGCAGAGCGACTGGATCAAGCCGGGTGCTGTGGTCGTCAACGTCGGCACCACCTTCACCGGGGAGTCGATCGTTCCTGACACCGGGCTCTTGCTAAAGGGCTTCAACTTAAGTTACCCGAAGTTACTATAATAGGGATCTATAGCTTAACTTAAGTTACCATAATAGGGATGTATAGTAAATAATATGGTTTTCTGATTATGGTAACTCAAATGAAATCTTTCAAAAAAAAACCGGTCTAGGTGCAAGAGCTTGCAGTAAGAATCTATCTTGAGCTGTACGGGAGTTGAGCGAACACCATGCCTAAACCATAGACCCAATCTGACCCGCTCATAGACCCCTACTACACCCCAAAACTCTAATCGTGGTTATCTAGAGCTGTAAATGGGTCATAACCTTGTATCCCTCTAGTAATCGTCTCCTATAGCCCTTCTAATATATGCCTGCTACAATATCCCGAACCCCATTGTACTTATTCACGGTATACAGCGCTATCATTAAAAAAAAAAAGCCTGCAGCTTCCCATCAACCCTTTGAAGAATCCCATACCAAACTCTCGGGGTGTACTGGTAGGATCCCAAACCTGAAAACCCAAAACCCTAAAACGCCAAACCCTAAAGGAACCCTTACAGGAGCCCATAAGGGAACCCTTATAGGAACCCTTAGAAGAACCTTTATAGGAAGAGGTAAAGGGACCCTGAAAAAAAGCAACCCTTATTGTGAAAAGCCAGCAAGAGCCCCAGTCTTTGCCAGACTGGACCATGACCTTCCTGACGGCGCTGATGTGGCGCCCCTCCTGCAAGAGCTCTGGGTGGTAGTGCAGGGGCCCAACAGATTACTAGCGCTATTCCTTATGAGGTTTGGAGTGCTTGGGGTTAGGGTACTTGGGCTTGGAGTTTAGGGTCCGTGGGGTTAGGGGGCTTGGGGTTTGCAGCACTTGCGGTTCAGGGCTAAGTAATACACACGGGAGTCAAAACCCCAAATCTCAACAGCACACAGAAGCGCAGACCCTGAGAAACCCTAAACCCTAAACCCTAAACCCTAAAACCGCCTTCTCATATCCTTCAGAAGCCTGGGAGTTCGGAGCAAGCTTTCTGAAGAGTTTTAGCAGGATTTTATTTTGGGGGTTGCTGGTTCGGGTTTTGAAAGTCTTGGGTTTTGGGGCTTCAGGGTTTATTTAGGGTTTGTGGCGTTTAGGGTATAGGATTTAGGAGTGTTTGGTGGTTTAGTCCCTCAGAGTTTTAGGCTTCAGGTTGTTAGTAGGGTGATCTACTTGTTTTTGTTGTACTTCTATGCTTTGTTGGTTGAGGCTTGAATGGCTTGGGCTTCACGGTTTCCCAGGAAGTCTCGGCTTTTGGGGTCTTGGAACTCGGTGGAATGCGTTTCGACTTAGGGTGTCTGAAAAGTAAAACTCTTTTGCCGTTCTCGTGGTGTCCTTGCACCAGGGGTTCGGGTTTAGGGTTTAGGGTTTAGGGTTTAGGGGCTATGATGTATTGTGGGTTGAGTGTTCGCGGATGAACTACCAGTCCAGGAGGCACTTTGGGTGTGCACAAAAGCTGAGCAAGAATATCCACAGCATTGAGTCCCTAAACCCTTCCCTGCTTGAAGCCCCCAAAGCCCCAAAGCCCTAAACCCCTAAACCTTGGACCCTTGAAGCCCCCAAAGCCCCGAAGCCCTAAACCCCTAAACCTTAGACCCCTGAAGCCCCCAAACCCCCAAAGCCCTAAGCCCTTAACCCCTAAACTCGAAACCAGAGTCCGAGGTGCTCGTGTCCCACGGAGATGCGCTGCAAATCCTGCAAACCGCTTTTCAGGTCATCGCTCCGGCGCTGTGCAGTTTTGCAGCTTAGGGTTTATGTCGGGGTTTAGGGGTTTAGAGTTTAGGGTTTAGGGTTTTAAGTTTAGGCTCAAGGGATGTCTAGGGATTAGGGTTCAGGGTGTAGGGTTTAGGGTCTTAAGTTTAGGGAGTTTTACCCTGGGTCCTTTGTCCAATGCTGCGTCCAGGATTGAAGAAGGGTCCTGACTTTATAAACAGTCTGAAACCAAGGTCTAATTTGTCAGAGGTCTATGATCTGCAAGCCTTGCCCTAAGCCCTGACACCGCTCATAGGGTTTAGGGTTTAGGGTTTAGGGTTTAGGGCTTAGGGATCCCAAGGTTGTAAACCCTGAGCTCCAAGTCTTGAGCTCACACCCGGCGTTTTGGGAGTTCCGTGGGGTTTCGAGTGGACATCCTGCATCTAAAGCGGCAACGACGGATGTGGGAGTTTCCGAAAATTAGGGTACCTTATTCTGGGGGTCCTTAAAATAAGGATCCTACTATTTAGGGTGCTATATTAGGGTCCCCTGTTTTCGGAAACCCCCATGTCCATCACTGCGTACACCTCTGACAGTCAAGCCCCAAGATCTCCAAGTTCAAGGCGATGTTGTCTTCGGTGCCCGCCCTATTTCATGGTTGCTTTTGATAGGGGTTCTAGAAGAGTTTAGGGTTTAGGGTTTAGGGTTTTAATATGGGTTCTAGAAGAGTTTAGGGTTTAGGGTTTTAATATGGGTCCTTGAAGAGTTTCTGCAGGGCTTTGCTTGTCACTCCCGCTGGCCTTCCCAAGCCACAACGAAGCGGGGGCAGCACTAGTACCTACTCCGAAGACTACCATGCGTGAAAGGATCGAGCAACTCCGACCCACTCTGAACCCTAAACCAACCTTAACCACAAGCCCCTTAATATAGGGGCCTTAATAATTGAAATAGGGTTTCGGGGCCCATTATACTATAAGTATAATAAGAAACCCCAAAAACAGTAATGGTAATTATTTCGGCCCCTACATTAATCCAAAGCTACTGCACCAAACCCAGCAGCCAGGGGATTTCTGCCGCTTCCCATCGCTCCTTGTCTCACCTGGATCGCGCGGAGCTGCGTGCACTGAACCCTGAGGTTTAGGGTTTAAGGTTTATAGGGTTCCTGAGGTTTAGGAGCTTGGAGGGAGCAGACAAGTCGAATCCTAAGACTTTCAATCCTTGCGCTTTATAGCTGCCCAGTTTAGGTAACCCTCAGAATCCAGTCCGATCGCACGGTCGGGGAAGGCCCCATTTCTCCCAGTTCTGCACCATCGCCCAACCTAGTGCATGTCCGAGTGCACAAGGGCCGGCGGCTGCAAAAAGTGAGGCCGTCAATTCATCGAATTGCTCCAATGCGCGAGAAACTGTGTGTTTTTGTTTGTGTGTGCGTGTGCCGCCGTCTCTCTCTGTGCGTGATGTCCAAGGGTTCAGACTCCCATCGGAGGCTCGCTCTCTGCACTTCGCGCAGCTCGCGGGAGACAGAACTCTGTCTTTACGAATTAGGGAAAGACCCCTAAACCCTAAACCCTAAACCCTAAACCCTAAGCCCTAGCCTAAATCCCTGAACCCCTTAACCCCTCAACCCTTTTGGGGTTTCCATATATATATATATATATATAAACCATCCTCAACCTGCAGATTCGAATCTTTGTACTTCTTATCGTATTGAACTTTTGCTTAGTTCGGAAGCCAAACAACCTCAAAGCCCAGCCTTCGGACATATCTGCTGGGGCTGAAAACTCGCTCCTAGACTCTATAAACCCCTGAACCCTAAACCCTAAACCCCCAAACCTTAAACCCTAAACCATGGCTTCCGTGGATGTGCCCGTACCGGACGAGCGCGAGATGCCGAATGACGGATCTCCTAAGGACCCTTTGGAGCCTTGAGAACTGTTGAGGCTTTATACCGGCTTTAGGGGTTTTAGGGGTTTAGGGTTTAGGAAATTTAGGAAATTTAGGGTTTAGGGTTCAGGATTTAGGATTTAGGGTTTAGGGTTTAGGATTTACGGTTTAGGGTTTAGGGTTCAGAGGGCTTGCCCGGTTAAGGGTCTAAGGTTGAGGGTTTAGGCTTATTCTATGCGCAGGGGTGCTTCGTGAGCGCTCATTCGGCTTCAGACGTACCCACCCTGACTTGGGCTCCTTCAGGCTTAAGCATGACACGGTTCACACCATATTAATATTGCCTTTGTCCCGGAGTTTGGAGCTGAGGGAACTTTGGTTGGGTTTAGGGCCTGCGGCTTAGGATTGGCTTCGGAACCACCGGAATTTTAGAGTCTTGACGAGGCGGAGGATCCTATTCTCCGAGCCCAAAAAAGAAGGTAGCCTAAGGGTGCGGTCTGATCATGTCGCTTCCTTGTCGTTCATTAAGCGGAAGTGTTACACTAACATTCGCCCTCAAATCCCAAAACTTGTGGGCTTAGGGCTACACTCTTGTGCTTGAAGCACACAGCCTCGGACTCAACCCTAAGCCGTAAGTCTCAGCCCTAAGCATGAGCTGTAAGCCCTAAGCTCTCAGCCGAAGGCTTCTTCAAGAACCCTAAACCCTAAACCCTAAACTCTAAACCCTTTAAACCCTAAACCCTAAACCCTAAACCGAATCCCCTACAAATTCCCTCGAAACCTCTCCGCTCCGAGGCTTTAGCTCGCCCCAACCTGAAAGCCTTTACAGATTCTAGGGTTTAGGGTTTAGGGTTTAGGGGGGTTTAGGATTTAGGATTTAGGGTTTAGGGTTTAGGGTTTAGCCTCCCAAAACCCGCTTCTAAGGCCCTTAAGTAAGAACCCTTCATCCTGCAAGACCCTGAGAATCTCTGGAAAAGACCGAAGCCGGACATTCCAAGTCCCTTACAAGAGCCTGAAGCTCCAAAACCTTGTAGCGCATGCACTCTGAGCCAAGGGTGGAGGAATCTTTAGGCTTCAGGGGTGTAGGTCTCGGGTTTAAGGGTCTAGCGAGGTTCAGAAATTCAGGGCTCTACTTCGGGTCTGGGGCGGAGTTTTAGGGTTTCAGGTTGACGAATGAAGAGTTTCAGGGGCGTGGAGTTGAAAGGGGCCGAGAACGCCAAGCCCGAACCAAGCTTACACAAATAAACCCACCGCAGCGGTCAAAAACCTTTAGAGACAAAGGCGTCAATGCAAAAAACACTATCCGAAGACCATACCAGAGACAAGTCTCGGCATACACAGAGAAAGTTGCAAAAGCTGCTGGGAGAAGAGAAAGAAGCACAGCGAGCCTTGAGCTCCAGGATGTGGCGCAGCCTGCAGACATGGAAGATACGGCAGCCGAGCCCAACTCTGGAAGGGTTGTTGGCTTTAGTGCTTTAGGAGTTCATCCTTTTGAGTTTTTGCCTGCCTGTGTGTCTATTTCTCGGTGTCTGTGGCTGTGTCTGCATCTGTGTCTCTGTGTGAGAGAGAGAGAGAGTTTGAGTGTTTGTTGGTTTGTTTGTGTGTGTGTGTGCTCGATTGGTTAATTGATAGATTGATTGCTTGCTTGCTTGCTTGCTTGCTTGCTTGCTTGCTTGCTTGCTTGCTTGCTTGCTTGCTTGGTGGGACGGCTGGATGGCTGGATGGTTGGATGGTTGGTGGGTTGGTTGATTGGCTGGTTGATTGGCTGGTTGATTGTATGCACACATACATGCATACATACATACATGCATACATGCATGCATGCATGCATGCATGCATGCATAAGTACATCCATACCTGCATACAGACGTTGATCTGTGCATGCTGCTTGATTCTGGTTGTTTTCGTTATTGCTTCTTGAGGTTTTCAGGGTTGGGGCTTTAGGGCTCTGAAGTTGTGAATCCGCCCAAGTTTCTGAAGTCGGCCTCAATCATGAGAATCGAGTTTGGAGGTATATTGTAGTATGCTTACATAGGGGGAGATACGGAAATCTCATGACTCCAATATCCCATCTACAGTTCATTCAGATGAAGGCACCTGCTAAGCTACTACTGGGATTTGTCCTGGGTGACTTCAACGGGCTGCTTAGCACATGCTTATTAAGGATAGCGGGGCACTTTGTGTGTGAGAAAGAACATGGAGCCGGTGACGCCGGTGACTGGCGCAACAGCGGGTAGCAAACAGACTTTTCGGGTCCTTCCGACTGGTTCGCCGAGGGTAGAGCTGCGACGGTGTGCGGCTTGAGCCAGGCGGCCAGTCAGTAGTAGAACCTTACTTTGTGGGGGTGTCGCTCGCCGTGCTAGTTTGTAATCAAAACGCTGAGCTCAAGACCCCCAACAGCCCCGAGCAGACAGCGCCCAGACTCTTTCACGAAGGATCCTAACAAGCTTCTCAACAACATTAGTATACAGTAATTTGTACGCCGTCGGTGTTAGTAGCCCTAAGCCCTATAAACCCTAAGCCTTAGCTTCGTGCTTGGTAATACCCATAGGCCCCATAGTAGTTCGTTTTTTGGGGTTCATATACTTTCAATCCGTTCTGGTAGTCCCCAAAAGTAACTACTATGGGGCCTATGGGTAGTCAAGCCGAGGATCCAACCGGTCCTAACGAGCGTTTGAGCACGATTCGCGTTATCAGTATGATGGCTATGGTTATAAGTCAACTACATATTATTTCTCGCTACCAGTGTCACTACTATTGACTATGATTGTTATTACTGCTATGTACATATATATATATATATATATATATGTATGTATATATATATATGTATATATCTATGTGTGTTTTACATTTGGTGTTGTTCGTCTTTTTACTCTTATTAAAATTTGTTCTTCCTCTTCTTCTTATTATGTTTAATGTCCTTCTCCTTGTTTTTAGTGCTTATTAGTTTTCGTATTACTAGCCCTTCTCTTATTCGTATTATTGTTCTTATTCTTACTCTTCTTCCTATTCTTATTCTTGTTTAGTGGTGTTATTTGATTTAGGGTGCAGGGCTTAGGGTACAGGGTTTCGGGCCTTTGGGTTTGTGTTGGCCCGAAATCCTTCGAACCAGCAGCCTTCGCACGCGTGTAGACTGTTGAAGCTCAGGGTTCAGGGCTTAAGTTTCGGGCTGTAGGGCTGAAGACCCTGAACCCTAAACCCTAAACCCTAAACCTTATAACCCTAAACCCTATAAACCCTAAACCCTAAACCCTAAACCCCAAGGGCCGTTAGAGTGAGCTTGAATTCAAACTCCCTGAAGTACGGCCTGCTGAAATGCTGAGGTTCAACAAGTGGCGGTTTGGATGACTGAGCTGGACGTTCTGCATGCAGGCATGGCGGCCATCTTGGGCTTTCGAACGGGAAGGTGTTGCATTGGTTTTGTCTTCTTTAAGTGTCGAAGCCTTTGGGCACTGCGAGCTACCCCGAAGCCTTCACACTGAACCCTCATCAATCTTCGGCATTCTCCCAAGAACGCCGCTCCGACAGCTGCTACATTCATCCAGAACATTGGATGGTTGGTCCGCAACCTTCCCGCTAGGTCCTGAGTGCTACGTTTTGCTATAAGTTGGTGGCAGAAAGGAACAACGCCGAATGAATCGTAATCTGGGACAAAGCATTGATGGGTTGCGTAGCTGCTTGTTCTAATCAGGGTGCTTTTCGTGAGCGATACGGACCATGCAGGAGGACGATGCCAGTGCAGATGCGCATGTTCAGTGTCATGATTGCGATTGCTGCTGTTTGCTGTTGTGGCCAGGCATGTCCAGCTGCACTGCTATGGTGCCGTTGTTGTCCGCATTGCGACTTTTTTGCTGCTGGCTTTGCTGCTCAACGACAACATGAGCACTATTTAGTCACTACTGACATCACTGCCCTCATTAAGTTTACTCCGATCAGCCCTATAAAATGAGTACCGTTGTTGTTGTTGCTGCTGTTGTGGTTGCTATTTGTTTCACTGGTGCTGCTGTTACCATCTCAAACCCTACCATTAGTCCAGCCGTGCTCTGACTACTATGCGGATCATTAGGATTCGGAAGCGCTGGTGCGAAGGATGACGGAAATGATTGCTGAATGTGATACAGCTGCTTGTGTGACTGACCGTAGTATTTTCACGATTACTACGGGCATTAATGCTTTGCTTTTGATGGCGATGTGTCTGCAAGTAGTCATAGTGCATTCGATCGTTCTGCTGCGCCCGAACATGAATGAGGTCTAGTCTACTTCAGATTTCCCCTGCAATACAAAAGCCCTTTCAATCCCTATCAGTCTCTCATGAGCAACTTCATAAAGGAACGAAAGTCATAAAAGTTAACCCTAAGGCCCTAAACCCTAAAAAGCCCTAAACCCTAAACCCTAAACCCTAAACCCTAAAAGCCCTAGAAGCCCTAAACCCTAAAAGCCCTAAAAAGCCCTAAAAGCCCTAAACAGCCCTAAACAGCCCTAAACCCTTCAGAGGCCTCCTGCGCTTCGTCCACGCACACAAGGCCCTCCGGCGCTTCGGCCAGGCACTGCGAGGAGGGGTTCGGGAGACCTGGCCCCGGACTTAGGGTTTAGGGTGTAGGGACTCAGGGGTTTAGGGGTTTAGGGTTTAGGGTTGGGACTTAGGGGTTTCGGGTTTAGGGTGTAGGGACTTAGGGGTTTAGGGTTTAGGGTTAGGATTTAGGGTTTAGAGTTTAGGGTTCGGGAGACCTGGCCGGACCCTGGCTCCCGCGGTTTCGGGGCTTATTCAGGGTCCCCAAAAAGGAACTAGAATGGAGACTACAGGTAGGGTGGCTTAGGGGTGTAGGGACTTAGGGGTTTAGGGTTTAGGACTTATAGGGCTTCAGGGTTTAGGAGCTTAGGTGTTTTAAGGGTTTAGGGGCTTTGAATTTTTTCGGCGCCAGGTTTGTGGGGATAGGATTCCCCTAAACCCTAAACCCTAAACCCTAAACCCTATAGGATTCGTTGTTCCAGACACAGGTTCAGCTTCCGGCTCTTCCAAAGATATCCCCTAGGCCCCATAGTAGTTCCTTTTGTCTAAGCCCATTATAGGTGGG